CCTAGCTCTAGCAGTTGAGGGAGAGCAAGGAAGGGAATCTAATCAAGGAAAGCAGGGCAGGAAGTTTTGCAGATTTTTCAAAATGAGGAATCATAATATAAAGGACTGCTACAAATTGAAGAAGAAGCAGTCTTATCAGAAAGATGGTACTGGGTCAAACTCAGGGTCCAATTCAAGTTCTAGCACTCCTAGGTTTGTTGGTTCAGTCACACAACCTGGATCTAATGAGACACAGTCGGAGGGAGGATTCTCCAGTGAGGGGAGTGTAGCTCAGGCACCACCAAGTTTTACAGCAGAAGAAATGAATAGACTTAGGTATCTTATGCAAGTTGGTACTAACACAACACCCTCTCCACCTGCCTAACCATCCATTAACCATCAAGCCTAATCAGTTTCTCAATTCCTAGCACCTTTTCTCAATCACTCAAGTAAATATGTCATGTCCTCAGCCCAAAACTGTAGTCTTGATAATCTAGGCATATGGATACTTGATACAGGGGCTTCAGATCATATAGCCTATAGTCAATCCTTGTTCAGTGAGTCTAAACAAGTTGTTGATACCTCTGTTTATCTCCCAAATAGTACAAAAGTCCTTGTTACTCATATAGGGACAGTCAAGTTACCTACTGGTTTGTTCCTTAATGATGTTTTGTTTGTTCCAAGCTTTACATTCAACCTAGTTTCTGTTAGCAAGCTCACCAAAGACTTCCCAATCTCATTACTTTACCAATCTGATCATTGTCATATCCCGGACCTTCTAAACATGAAGAAGATTGGTTTGGCAAAAGAAACTAGGGGGCTCTATCAACTCACCTTCACACCTAGCCAGTCCAAGACCCTTCATTCATCACCTCCACACCTTGCAGCCACCTTATTCAACTTTCAACCTCAATAGCTTGACCTATGGCATTGCAGACTAGGACATCCAGGCCATGATAGGATTTCTTTGATTCATCATACCTCTCCTGATGTAACTAGTGATAGAATCAAACACTGTGAAGTTTGCCAATTGTTCAAACATAAGAATTTGCCTTTTCCGGTTAGTACCAACATTGCACCTGATGTTTTTCATTTGGTTCATGTGGATATATGGGGACCTCTGTCTGTTACTTCTTATGATGGTTTTAGTTATTTCCTCACTGTGGTTGATGATTGCTCTAGAGTTGTGTGGGTCTATTTGATGCATCATAAAAGTGAAGCAAGGGGGTTTTACAGGGTTTCTGCCATCTGGTTAAGAACCAGTTTGGGAAGACAGTTAAAATTATCATAAGTGATCAGGGAAAGGAGTTTGAAATGTGTGAGTTCTTTGCTGCTGAGGGTATAGAACATCAGGTTTCCTGTGTTCAAACACCAGAATATAATGGAAGAGTGGAAAGTAAACACCAACACATTTTAAATGTGGCCAGATCCCTAAAATTTCAATCTGGCATTCCTCTTGAATTCTGGAGTGACTGCATACTCCATGTTGTCTATCCTATTAACAGAATTCCCACACCTCTTCTTAAAACCAAATCTCCTTATGAAATCCTCTTTGATCAGCCTCGTTTCCTTGGGAACTTGAGGATTTTTGGGTGTTTATGCTATGCCAGTACACTTGCTCAAGGTAGAACAAAATTTGCACCTAGAGCTAAGCAATGTATCCTTCTTAGCCTACCTGCTGGTGTCAAAGGGTATAAGCTACTGGATATTAACACTAGAGAAGTTTTTGTTTCTCGAAATGTCATTTTCTATGAAGACATCTTACCATTTAAACATGATCCTAGCCATGATCCAACAGAACCCTTACCTGCTACCTCTTCCCAATCTCCCCAACACCCTTATTCTTTCCCTTCTATTGTCATTCCTTCATCACAGCCATCTACTTCTTCTTCCCCTCCTCAGGATCATTCATCCTACGATGAAGGGGGGAAAACTGAGGAGGAGCCATTCTCTTCATTAGTTCCTTATGTTGCAGACCATTATGAGTACTTTGATGCAGATGAAGAAGAGTTGATGTCTCAGCAAGACTTTGATCCAGATGATGAAGAGGTGGCTAAGGGAGGAAGGCCACCTAGAAAAGTCAATCTTCTAGCAAGGTATAAAGATTTTGAACTAGACCCTTCTCTGCAGTTTGGTGGTTTTAAGAAATCTAATGCATGTTTGAGACATCCAGTCTGCTTGAATGTTGATACCTTGAGTTCAGAAGATAGGACATATGCTTTAAGTGTGGTTAATATGGTAGAACCAACTTCATACTATGAAGCTATTAAAAGTGATAAGTGGAATAGGCCAGTCAATAATGAGATATACTCATTTGAAGAAAGCCAAACTTGGGACATTGTCCCACTGCCAGAAGGGAAGAAGGCAATTGGTAACAAGTGGGTATTCAAACTGAAGTTGAAGCCTGATGGAGGAGTTGAAAGAGAAAAGGCAAGACTTGTGGCAAAAGGATTCTCCCATATCTATGGGATTGATTTTCTAGACACATTCTCACCTGTTGCAAAAATCAACTCTGTAAAAGTCTTTTTGGCAGTTGCAACAGTGAAGCATTGGGTCTTAGAACAACTTGATGTGTCAAATGCATTTCTTCATGGTGATTTGGAGGAGTAAGTGTACATGAAGATTCCTCTGGGAGTTAAGGTACCTAACTCTAATGGACAGAAGATGGCTTGCAGATTGAAGAAATCCTTGTACGGCCTCAAACAGGCTTCAAGGCAATGGTTTGCCAAGCTGGCAAGGTCACTTATGAAACAAGGGTTTGCACAGGCAGCTTCTGATTATTCTGTCTTCACCAAATGGACACATGGAAGAGTTGTAGTGCTCTTGGTCTATGTAGATGACATAATCCTAGATGGGGATTTTCATAAGGACATTGACCAAGTGAAACTGGCCCTGAGTAAGGAATTTAAGATCAAGCTATTAGGACCCTTAAAATACTTCCTAGGTCTGGAAGTGAGTAGAAATGCAGAAGGGATGAGTATATGCCAAAGGAAATATTGTATTGAACTACTTAAGGACACAGGATACTTGGAAGCTAAAGGGTGTAAGTCTCCTTTTGATACAAAGGTCAAGCTGGTGGCAAATGGAACACCATTAGAAGATGCAGAATGCTATAGGAGGCTGATTGGAAGGCTTCATTACCTTACCATTACCAGGCCTGACATAGCATTCCCAGTGCAGCAACTATGTCAATATCAGAAGAACCCCTGCCAAGAACACTTGCAGGCAGCTTATAGGGTTCTTAGATATTTGAAGACTGCACCAGGGCAAGGCATACATTTTAAGACCAATGCAGACTTGAAGCTTAGTGGATATAGTGACTCTGATTGGGCTAGCTACCCTGACACTAGGAGGTCCATAACGGGTTACTGTACCTTTTCTGGGCATATCCCTTCTCACATGGAAAACCAAGCAGACACCGGTATCCACATCCTCATTAGAAGCGGAGTACAGGGCTTTGGCACATCTTGTTTGTGAAGTTCAATGGCTCAAACGGCTACTTGCAGAACTGACAGTTCTGGTACCCTTACCAATCCTTATATATTGTGATAACAGATCAGCAATTCACATTGCAGAGAATCATGTGTTCCATGAAAGAACAAAACATATTGAGATTGATATGCATGTTACAAGAGAAAGGATTAAGAGTGGTTTGATTAAGCTTGAGCATGTTGGAACTGTGGAGCAAAAGGCTAATCTGTTCACCAAGGGACTGGACAGATTTCGTTTGAAAGAGTTGTTGTGCAAGTTAGGGATTCAAATTGAGATGTCACCGCCAACTTGAAGGGGGGTAACAGTCATGGATCAAGTAGCAGAGCTTGTCCTGATGCACCAAGGATTAACAGGGCAAGAAGAAGAAGTGAAGAAACGTTTCATGAGCAAGGGCGTTTCTTATGTTATGCCTTTCATTATGTACGTCGCTACGGCGACGTTTTCCTTTCTGTTTATTAGTCGTTAAGCAAACAGTGGTTTATGTTGCTAATGGCCAGTAGAAATGAGACACTTGTACTAGCTGGTTAATTTGATTTTGCTGCTATAAAAAGGAATAGAGAACTCAGCAGAAAGCTTGAGCTTCTCTTTCACAAAAATCACTCTACAAAATTCATAGACAGCTTTGTAGAACTCAACAGTGTAACCATCAGAGCCTGGAGACTTGTTTGAACTCATATACTAAAAATGGTATCTATAATTTCATCTTTGGAGACATTTCGGCACAATCCTTCAGTGTCAGACACAAGGATCTTATGCTCCAGTAGCTTCTACATTTCTTCCATGGAACAGCTAAGTACCTCTTCATTCCTCTCTCCTAAGAGGTACTTTTGTAAAAATCTACAGCTAGCTGGTCAATCTATTCCATATATCAGTTATTATCCTTCCATCATTTTTCTTCAAATAGAAATTGTATGCATGTGTTGTCTCATCCTTAAAGAATGGTGGAAATAAGCATATTTATGATCTCCCTCTAAGTTGCTTGAATTCTTTCTTTTTGTTTTGTATAACTCCTCTTCTACATTCTGAAACATCACATATTAAGCAACTACTTTGGCTTCTTGTTCAAACAGTAATGGGGATGGCCTTAAAAAATTTCTATCTGGATTGCTCACTCCAAAATCTAAATAACTTGAAAGGTTTAGACAGTATTTTCTTATCAAAAGTTGAATTGAGCAGTAGACCACAGTTATCAAAATGAACCTCTGGAACTACCGTACTTTCAAAACTATCAGGAAACTTAGTTAACCATGCCCCCTTCATGAAAAAACTTCTAATCTTTTGGCAATAGGATTATGTTCTTGCTTGCCAACTTAGGTATATTCATCACCAGGAAGCTTCATAATTCCAAATCCAACAATCTGGAATCGTCGGATAAGGAAAGAGTGCTCTCTAAATCGGTCTAGATAACTCCGTGGAAAAATAAATGGCTAACAGCCGCCTTGTTTCACCTTCGAGTACCAAGATCAATTAAAATTTAGAGCTGAAACAAAAGGCGACGACATTGGGACACCGAGACGAGATTCGGGCTAAAACATCATTCCTAAGCCCAAATGAAATAGGTTCTTGTGTCCCAAACTAAAAACAAAAGCCCAGCTCAGTTGGGCAATCGTCCAACCGGATTCGCTAATTCTAAGCCCAATGAATCTCTCCGACCCGACTTTCGCCCATTTCTTCTAATTCTGCACGTATTATCAAATACGAATCCGTTGCCGAGAAGTAATAACTTTTTTTTTACAGTAAGAAGTAATAACTCGTTGTGGAGCAATTCTGTAGTGCCGCCACTGTATTGATACAGTCCATTTTATACCGGCTACACCCGGTCTTCGGTTTTCCCCGTTAATGGGCTCTACCTCAACGGGAACAAAGAAAAAATGTTTCCAATTTTTTGTATTTTAAAATAATGTTAAATACTTTAAACGAAGGTTATGTAATATGTTGTACTTTTATTCCATTACTCTTTTTTTTTTTTTGCAATTTAGACCCTGTAATAAAACTAAAAAAAATATAGATTTTGGTTGGAAACCTAAAAAATACATATGAGTAAGTTTTAATTTTTTTTAATTATAGGTACTTAGTTGTAAATAGTCACTCGAAAATTAGAGTTGTAAACATAACCTATTTATATCGTTGTATGATGTACTGGAAGATTAACGAAATAAGAAAACCTATTTATATCCTCTCCATGGACTAGTGTCATACTGACGATATCACGATAAAAAAGGATCTTGTATTCCTTACTTTTAGTTTGATATTTTGACAATTTTTACCGTGTATTCCATTTTTTTGCTAATCATGTATTCAAACCATTTGAATAGTGATAATGGGAGATGGGATAATATCTTATGAATTACTCTGTTTCTCAAAAACTTTACATTTAGTTTACCTACATTTATAACCCACTTTCACTAACGTGGCTTCGTCGTTGCTAGGGCTGACAATCAAACTCGCAACCATGAATAACTTACCAACCCTACCTAAATCAATGAAGAGAATCCCCATATTGACTTGGTATTGGCGCGGGGGGGGGGGGGGGGGGGGGGGGGGCTGGTAAAACCGCAAAAAGTTTGAAGTGGATGGGGTGATATGATTTTAGACTCCCCCGATTTTATTCGGATACCTGTGGGTAATACCTGTTTCATTTTATTCGGATACCTGTGGGTAATACCTGTTTCATTGCTCGTACATACAACATTACTGTATCTAAAATTTAACGTCTAGATATTTAATTATAACATTAAACGGATCTAGTAAATCATGAAATTAACAAAGATACTATTTAATTACAAATTTAACGCATTTAATCCTAAAATATTCATAACCCATAAGAAAAAGTATAATGTTATCCAAATCAACTAGGAAGTTATTTTGTGACAACACCCCTGCCACTAAGGGAATCAACTAGAAAATGGACATTTTTACCGAACTCAAAACCTAATAAAGGCCAAGAAAATATAATAGAGCATGCTAAATTGTAGAAAGATTTCCACTTCGTCACTAATGCAAAGTACAATCAAATTATGCTTAACTTTCATTAGCACTTCATCAACACTTGGAATAAATAACTATAATTTTTTAAAAGAGAGAAATAAGTAAAGGACTGAAAGAAGAATTGGAGCGAGATAAATTATTATTTGGTTTGGGTGACCATTCAATTACATTTCAATATTATTTTGGAATTACACTTCTTTTTATTGAGATGTTATATTTGATTTATTTATTTTTTTATGTATAAAAGTACTCTTGGTGGAGTGAGTATGACTGTATGAGTATGACTATATGGAAGGGAGTCTAAAACCATACAACCTCATACCTATCAAAGTTTTTGTGTGTTTTAACTTTTAACCATATTCGTCTCATACTCAGTCAATGTGAGGGTTCTCTACGTTAACAGGTTGGTGATGATAAGATACCCATGGTTGTGGGTTGATTTTCATCCCTAGCAACGATGGAGCCACGTTAATGATAGGGCGATATAAATATAGGTAAAAGTACATCTAAATTTTGTATTTTTTAAAATAGTGTAATTATTAAAATATTAGTCAATCTCCAATTATCACAATTCAAATATCGTGATTTATATTTTAGCTTCAATTCAAAATTCTAGCACCATCATTGATAATATAAACATAAATTTTTTTAGTTGAATAAATTTAATTTTCTTGAATACTCAGTATAAATATTTTACAGCCGACTCATATTTACTTTGGTTTCCAACAAATTTTTTGCATGTGTTGTTTTTTCTAGGGGTTGAGAAAATTGGAAAAAAAGTACATAACATGAAAACAAATATTACATGACTTTGTCTTCGTATAAAGTTACGGAGACAACTGAACATATTTTTTCTTTGTTCCCGTAGCCAAGTAACGGGGTTTCGAAAGAAAAAAAAATGTAATCCAATAACGGGGAAAGCCCAAGACCGGCTGTAGCCGGTAAAAAAGGGACGGTATCAATACAGTCCCGGCACTAAAGAATTTCCGCTCGTTGGAGCAGTGAGGTTTTTCCCGCCAAAGCTGGTTCCACAAGAATCTGACAACGTTATTACATGACGTGGCATTTTTTGATTCGACGAACACGCTAGCCTACACAATTTAAATCCGCTTATGAAACTGAATTCCACTACTACTATAAATATACGTCCTCTAGGACACAGCATCAGAAATAAACAGAGCAAAAGAAAGAACAGTGCAGAATCAAGCTATCAAATTCTTTCCAGTGAAAGCAACAATGGCGGTCAAGACCAGCAATCTCGCACTCATCCTTCTCATTGTGTCAGGTAAACACTCTATTCTCTTTTGTTCGGTTCTAATCAGAAACTAAACATCCTTGCTCTGTTTCTCTTTGTTGTTTTACAGCTTTCCTTCTGGCAGCATCAGCAGCCGCGGCAGCGGAAGGAGAATGGACTCCGAAGCTCGGGACGGTGATCGGAATCGACCTTGGAACAACCTACTCGTGTGTTGCCGTTTCGAGAAACGGCCACGTGGAGATCATCGCCAACGACCAAGGCAACCGGATCACACCCTCGTGGGTCGGGTTCACGGACTCGGAGCGCCTCATCGGCGAGGCCGCCAAGAATCAGGCACCTCAGAATCCAGAACGCACCATCTTCGACGCCAAACGCCTCATCGGAAGAAGGTAATCAAGTTACAGATTAACAAATCTGAAATCACTGCATCCTGAAAATTCATCCCACTGCAACTCTGTTTCTAGGGAACGTGTGTTTGAAATTGAAATTCAACTTTCTTTCTTACTTACAGGTTTGATGATCCGGAGGTTCAGAAGGATTTGAAATTACTCCCATACAAAGTTGTGAACAAGAAGGGGAAGCCGTACGTTGAAGTGAGAAAAGACGGAGAGACCAAAACATTTAGCCCCGAGGAAATTAGCGCCATGGTGTTGAACAAGATGAAGGAGACGGCTGAATCTTTCCTGGGAGAGAAGGTTAAACACGCAGTCATCACCGTTCCAGGTAAATAACTATCGTTTAAATTTGTGATTTCGGACGGAGCCAGAAATTTGAATGAGGGGCTAAAAATTTAAGCTTGAGGAATTTGAAGCGGAGGCTTATCAATTTCAATTTCGTTACGAATTTTACATGTAAATTTACCGACAACGATGATTTGTCTGTTTTATTTGCAGCTTACTTCAACGACGCGCAGAGACAAGCGACCAAGGATGCAGGGACAATAGCAGGGATGAACGTGGTCCGAATCATCAACGAGCCGACCGCGGCGGCAATCGCCTACGGGCTGGACCAGAAGGGGAAAGAGAAGAACATCCTGGTCTTCGACCTCGGCGGCGGGACATTCGACGTCAGCATCCTAACCATCGACAATGGAGTCTTCGAGGTGTTGGCGACCAGCGGCGACACTCATTTAGGAGGGGAAGATTTCGACCACAGAGTAATGGACTACTTCATCAAGCTGATTCAGAGGAAGTACGGGAAAGACATTAGCAAGGACAACAAGGCCCTGGGGAAGCTGCGGAGGGAGTGCGAGCGAGCCAAGAGGGCGCTGAGCAGCCAGCACCAGGTCCGAGTCGAGATCGAGTCGCTGTTCGACGGGGTCGATTTCTCCGAGCCGCTGACCAGGGCGAGGTTCGAGGAGATGAACATGGACCTGTTCAAGAAGACATTGAGGCCCGTGAAGAAGGCGATGGAGGACGCGAGGCTGAAGAAGTCGGAGATCGACGAGATCGTGCTCGTCGGAGGGAGCACTCGGATTCCCAAGGTTAGGGAGCTGCTCAAGGAGATGTTTGATGGCAAGGAGCCGAACCAAGGTGTGAATCCTGATGAAGCTGTGGCTTATGGCGCGGCGGTTCAAGGTGGCAACCTCGGCGGAGATCAAGCCAACACTCGAGGTAATTAATTAGTCCGCGACATATATAACTCGTACTAACACTGCTCGTATTACTCATACTCTAACGATTGGTTATCTTTTGCCCATTGCAGACATACTTCTAATTGATCTAACTCCCCTGAGTCTGGGTATTGAAACTGTTGGTGGTGTTATGACTAAATTGATCCCAAGGAACACTGCCATTCCCGCTAAGAAGTCACAAGTGTTCAGCACATACCAAGACCAACAAACAACTGTATCAATCAAGGTAAATGACCGTCCGTTTTCATGAGAATGTGCGATCGTACCAACATCAATGCATCGAATGAATATCAGAACTTTGAAATTAAACGTGATTTGGTTTCGGGGTAACCTCAATATTACATTTTTTTTGTTCAGGTATACCAAGGAGAAAGAGCCCTGACGAAGGACTGCAAGGAGCTAGGCCAATTCGACCTCTCCGGCATCCCACCAGCACCAAGAGGCGTGCCCCAGATTGAAGTGACGTTCGAAGTGGACGTGAACGGGATCCTGAGCGTGACAGCTGAAGACAAGGCAGCGAAGAAGTCGCAATCGCTGACGATCACAAACCACAAGGGGACATTGAGCCAGGAGGAGATAGAGATGAAGGTGAAGGAGGCTGAAGAAATGGAGGAAGAGGACAGGCAGGTGAAGGAACGAATCGACTCGAGGAACAAACTGGAGAGCTACGTGTACAACATGAAGAGCACGGTTGGTGATGGAAATGGCGTCGGAGGGAAGATTGGGGAGGAAGAGAAGGAGAAGGTGGAGAGGGTTTTGAAGGAAGCTTTGGAGTGGTTGGAGGAGAATGAAGGGGTGGCTGGGAAGGATGATTATGATGAGAAGTTGAAGGAAGTTGAGGATGTCTGTAATCCGGTGATTAAGGGAGTTTATGAACAGCAGCAACAGCAGAGTGGAAGGAATGATGGTGAAGATGATGATGAAGAGGGTTCTTATGACGAGCTATAGGCTGGCTGAGGCTGACTGGCAATGGTAGATGGATTATAAAGATTGTTTTATGTAGTTATGTTCTTTGGGTTATAGGTTTTTGAGTTTGAATATATATTGATTAATTGATTGGGCTGGGATTGAGGTGTAAAATAGATTTTGCTTCTTCGTTTTTACTCTAGTATTTTTATATATTGGGTTTCAAATAAAAATTGTGCATTGTACTAAAGAAGATTAGACAATGATTCATACGCTGGGAAACAATCCATGATGGAACAAGAAGCAGATTAGACGATAAAAGGTAGAAACTGACTCAAAAGTACTGGCAAAGATTCTGTTGATAGTGGTCTACAATAACATTGCTCCTGATCAGATACAATACTCCTAACTCGGTTTCAGGAGGCATGGCTCTCCTTAATCCATACAATACATGTAGAAGACAAGCAAGCCTACTACTTCTTGGCAAAACTGATGGCCATTGGATTTTGAGGAGTGATTTTGAACCCTTGAAGTGCCTGCATGGCCATGGATGACTGAATGTCGTCTTCGAATTCAACGAATGCAATGCCAGGCTTAGCTTCCACCATCCGGACTTCCTTGAATCCAGGGTACTGCTGGAACAGGACATGCAACATCATGCTAGTGGTTCCATGCGGCAGATTCTGGATGAACAGTATGTTGTTAGGCGGAATGGTTTCTTGGTCGCCGCCACCACTTGCTGGGCGGAAAGAAGTCTGCACATCACAAAGGAGCAGAATTCACGATCAGATGGCAAATCTGACGAAGGCAATCTAGAACTAACAGACACATGCTTTCGAGGTAAATTTATAAGATTGTGGTGGAGAAACTAATGGCCAGAGTTACGTAAACAGACAGTAGCAGCACACTTACAGGGCCTCTGTTATTGTCAGCAGCTGAACCATTAGCTGTTGCAGATTGCTGAACTTCTTCAGCGCGCCTCTTCCTCTCAGCTGAAGGTACAGATATTGGCACATGATTAGTACAAGCGTAGAGCTCAAAAGTTCTTGCATGATATTGGAGAATTGACTAGAGAATGCAAGATTTCAATTCTGATTACCTTTTTCTTCTTGTTTCTTCTTCTTCTTAGCATTTGGATCGTAGACTCCTTCTGCCTCTACAAGGCAGTCTGACTTTGTTTTTGCATATTGGATACGCTGCACCAAACCAAGATCTTATAAGCATAAAATTGCCACTCCTGATATGTTCTTGTTACTATATTGTTATTATAGAGATGTATAATGGCAAAAGGATATAATGAGTAAGCCTGTCCTTCACATCTGTGTCTTTAGCTAGGAACCTGGCCTAATTGAATTGGTCGAATCTTTAAACCAGAATATGTGCAGAGAAAATATAGATGATACTGCAAGGTTCTTCAAGAACTACGTTATCGTATGAATGAGGGAGTCCATACTGAAGAAACCTTCTTTCTCATTGAAATAACTCCACGCCCTAATACAGGAGCCTAATAGTTAACTCTATAATCTTAAGCAACTTCATGTTCAAATAGATACTCTGACCAAGTTACTCATATATCATATATTTTATGTTCACGCCTTTACATTTCCCTACATAAGTTACTAGCTCCACATCTAAAGGCGTACCATGGGCTTGTCATAAAATGGAAAACCCTGCATTTGCCGCACTGCATTGCTGGCAGCTGTTACTTCACTGAAGCAGACCCATGCCTGCCCTCTGAGCTTCTGTGTCTTCAAGGCAACGACATCCAGAATCCTTCCATATTGAGAAAACAAACAGTAAAGCGATCTTCTCAATTCTGAAAAAGAAAATGTTAGATACGGTGAAACCTGTAACTATTAAGTATTAACCAATACGCTACAATCCCAAAGGTTTCATAGAACTAGGACATATTGCAACAAGAGACAGTGATTGAGAATCAAGTTCCTGACTCGTTCACAATGCTTGCTGGGGAAAGTGCTTCCAGGGATCACAAACATGAATGAAATCTGAAACAAATGGACAGCTTAAAAGCATTCAATGGCCATTCAATTGTTGGTTTCAAATGACTCTGCCCACAACGGAACCAACTTATTGTTTATGGACCGAGGTAGTGTAGTAGTGTGAGTTGATTACTCATTCAAAAGTATATAAACTAGAACCCTTTAACACAGATGCTATATGCCACATATACAGTTCTGGATAAGATGTTTCCGCAAAGTAGCCATCTTGAGGGATACCACCTGTAAACTATGAAAGAATAGGCCTTCTCGGGCACTAAACTTAAACATCCATCCTTTTAATAAAACAGAACGCTACCAATCCTAATACTCTAGCTCGCCAGAAAATAGAATTTCAGAACCTAAGCTCCCACGACGAATCTGAGCAAACCAAACTTGGGTGGCATTACTCCGCATTGGCCGTGAACAACACAGAATACTTGCCCCTAAACCCTTTGAAATGAGTAAGCAACTCGAGCACTAATTTGCACTCTATGGCAAGCTTCAAGTTGCGCAGCTATGGAGAGCAGAACCATGAATTGAGACGGCGAGATTTAGGGTTCAAAAATTTTTCCGTTCCATTGATTCCACAGCCCAGAAAGGCAGAGAGAGAGAGAGAGAGGAGATCGTATCGTACCTTCTTTCTTGACCTTCTCGTTGAGGTTTTTTATGTAAATGGTTTGATTGGGGGGAATGTCAGCCGTTAGCATCGTGACACCGGCGGAGAAGAAAGGTTGTGCGAAGAAAGGTTGTGCGAGTTTGCCGCTTCAGCACGGTGGTAGGAGAAAGGGAGAAGAAGCTGGGCGACGATGACTCGGTTCGAAGGATGGATACAAACTATAGCTTTTATATTTGGGCTGTTTGGGTGGGCCGGAGCCCCACAATACAACTTCTCAGCCAGATGCGGTGAGGTCCGTGATGGATGGATGGATACCAGACCAGAGGGCCAAACTGTATTTCTTGCAAAGCTAATCACAGAATAGTAAGGTGGTCAAATTGAACCGAACTAGAGATTCTTACGTGCTTGGGACTCTGGGGTGGAAGATTTGTAAAAAAATGATTTAGAAGTGGAAGTTTGATTTGCCATAAACAGTGGGTAGTATATTTATATTATTATATATACAATTATTTTAGATTATGATATTTTAATATCATCATGATTTTATGTACTATTATATAGGAATTATTATTCCTTATTATTAGTCGGGATTGCATGGAAGGGTATAGGAGTCCTTTCTCCTTTACGTAGCGTAACCCTAGTTGCACTTGAAGAATAGGGTATATATTCATCTTCTTGTAATCAGTTGCCGACTAATAAGAATAGCGAGAGAAAGCTCTATTTCTCCGTGGAGTAAGCTCATTCACACTGAATGAGAAGAATCACGTAAATCTCGTGTTTGTGTTCTTTACTTTTCGCTTTATATATTTTACATGGTATCAGAGCTGGTCATATAGATCAGAATGGCTACGATAATAGAGGGCGGAACTGACATGCGGTGGTCACCAGTGGCGGCAGAAGAGGCGGTGTCGTTCCTCTGGTTATTCCTGCGACGTTGAAGATCCAAGCATCGGACAATCCTGGCCAGCTGTTTGTGGGGGAGTTGCTGAACGACTCAAATTATGGAGAATGGGTAACCGATATGACGGAAGCCCTAATCGCCAAGAATAAACTTGGTATTGTGGATGGATCTTTTGTGAAGCCCGAAGCAGTGGGAGAGCTTTGAGAGGCATGGTTGCAATGTGATGCACTCATGAAGGGATGGCTCAAGACTGCCAATGACAAGGAAGTTTGCAGCTCGATTCGTTATACGAAGACGACGCGAGAGATGTGGGTCGACCTAGAGGCCAGGTTTGGAAAGGGATAGGCTCCTCGCGCATACGAGCTTAGACAGCTGATTAGCTCCTTAAGGCAAGAGAAACTCAGCGTCTCTACTTTCTTCATCAAGCTGCGGGGTTATTGGGAAGAGATGTAGACGATAAAGCCAATTCCGCATTGCACATGTGGGCAATGCACGTGTGATGTGGGAATCAAGTCATGGAGAATATGGAAAGTGATTGTCGTTTTGATTTTCTAACGGGACTGGGAGATGCTTTTGCTACAGTGAAAATCCAAATCTTATCCATGAGACCTACACCAACCTTGGGAGAGGCTTATCGACTTGTTGCCACCGAGGAGCAACACAAACAAATTTCGACAAATAGGAGGCCTCATGTTGAGGCAGCAACACTTCAAACATCTCGTGGTCAAGACGCAGTGGAGGCTGGACGAAGTAGTGAGAGAGGACGCAATGCGGATGGCAGGAGCGCACTTCATTGTAGTCACTGCCAAAAGCGTGGCCACCTAAAAGAAAGTTGCTTTGAGTTGATTGGATATCCAGCTGGATGGGTCGAGAGGAAACCACGTCCAGATGATAGAGAAGAGCGGCAGAGGGACTTGAGGTCGAACAAACCGAGGGCAGCGCAGTCATCATCAGTGGCAGGTGTATCTATTCCTGGACTAAACTCTGACCAAGTTCAACAACTATTGCAGTTTCTCAACCAGAGCAACACGTCGCAATCTCAAAATCCGGAGTCACAAGTGCACATGGCTGGTAAGTTCTCTGGTTATTGATTCGGGTGTTGTTCAAGGGTATTTGCTGGTTACTATTCCGAATGGGGATAAAGTGGCAGTTAAACGAGTTGGTGACGTCAGTTTGTCAAATGGAATGAAACTCAGTCGTATTCTCGGCATACCATTATTTAAGTGTAATCTTCTGTAACACCCCGACGATTGGGTATGGGTTCGACCGAAAGGCTGGATTGACGATTACGTACAAAGAGTGACAACCGCAAATTTGGATTAATAATAATATTAATTATTATACTATTATTATTATTATAAAAAAGGAAGGAAAAAGATATATCTCCCCACCATTACTCCTCCCTACTAATTACTTCCAAACCCACTTTAATTCCCTAATCTCACACTTGTTCAACCCCATCTTTCCACCCCAAACGTTTCCCTGAAACCCCCTCTCTTTTATTAGAGGAAGCAGTAACGAGCTTAATAGGAGGAAGAAAGAAGAATCCCCACACCAACTCCCGTTCCCGTCGCACGCCGGCCTCGCCACTTGCCCATCATCACCATCTGCGTTCTTCCCCAAGAATCGCCACTTTCCCCAGACCAATCTCGACATCCTACCCTCCATCCGAGCTTCGTTGCAGCAAGAAGGAAACGGGAACAACATCTCTCGATGACCACCAGCGGGAGAGAGAGAGACGGTGACGTTGACACCATTCTTCCTCTTCCTCCGGCCGATCAGTCCATCCCTCCTAGTAGGAATATCATCCACGGAGGTAAGGACTCTGAAATCAATTTCATTCCAAGCTCGATTCGGTCAATAAACTAACCCCAAATCCATGTCCATAAACCGTAGTCGATGGCAAGGCATTAGAGACTCGTCGGAAAGTACGCCGCCGGTACCGGCATCATCGACTTCAACCATATTCCAAAACGTGGGTACGGTTGTGTAGAGGACGAGACCAGGATCGTCACGGTCTCGATGAAATTAAATTTGGACGTCAGAGATACGAGCCTGGAAAGTTAGGGATGCAAATTGGATAGTTCAGGTACGATTCTTTCTATTCGAAAAATTAGAGGATTATTTTTGTAATTTTCCAGAGAGGCGGTGGTCAACTCTGTTGACTGGCAAAATGACAGTTTCGGTACCTAGTACTTTTAAACTTACAAAATATTTATTTTGGTCGTAACTCGATGATTTGGCGTCCAAACGAGGAACCGTCGGCGCCTATGGAATCGTGAGAACGTGCAGAATTTAATGGGGTCGAGTCATGGAATTTTTAGAGTGGAATCAGATTGGTTTTTGACGGATTCGAGGTGAGTGTAAAGGGGGTAAAATCTCTGTCGAGGTCTTTTAGTTTATGTCTTTTAATTCAGTTATGTTCGTTAATTTTCAAGTAAGCGCGATTATGTGTTAGGCATCCCACCGCCTACTTAAGGTGGGGGCACGCGTTGTGCTATGTATGTGATGTATGTTTGTATGTAAGATGAACCCCCGGGCGGTTGGGCCACTACTGGACGAAGTAGATGGTCGGATCACTGCTGGACGGCGAGACGTAACGCAACAGTGGATCTTGTATGTTGGGGTCACTACTGGACGGCAAGACGTAACGCAGTAGTTGACCGGGGATGGACTGGACGGCGAGACGTAACGCAATGCCATTGCCGAGTTTGTATGGAACCGGACGGCGAGACGTAACGCGGTTGGCATACTAAGGTAGGGACACCGGACGGCGAGACGTAACGCGGTGGTCCCTAGTATTTATGTGTTAGAGTTAAGAGTAGAAGTCGAGAACTTTTATGTGTTATGTCGGAATAAAGTGTCAAGGATAGAAGTAAATAACTTCTATAAGACAAGGTTAGGAGTAATAAATTAAAGTATTGAGGATGAAAGCGAGAACGGTTTTCATCTAAGGAAGGAAACCCGCTAATAATGTGTTTAGTAAGGGTTTGCTTAGGGTAAGACCATAGGAAGTAACGACGAGACTGACCCCTTCTCACTCACCAGGTTGAGGAAGGGTTAGCCGAGGTGGATCCCGAGAAGAGGCAGGGCGAGGCGAGAAGCCGCACCAGCATGGACGAGATGTCAAGGAGCTCAGCGAGGAGTTATAGTTTGTTTAGTTAGTTGTATTTATGATTATGAGTATAACTGGAGGTTCAAAGGTTAAGTTTTTTATTGATTATGAGTTGAGGTCGCCCAAGTGTTTAAGGCATATTATTTAAAAATGATATCATTGAATTAGTTTTAACGAAATTTTGAGTATTGTGTTTAATCGGCTCCGGAGGCATGGTTATTTCGGTTGGGTAAAAGTATCGGGTTGTTTCATCTTCTTTTGGTTAGCAGGCTGACTCAGGACTTTGATGTCGCTTTGACATTCTTACGCGATTTTTGAGTCATCCAGGACTTACACTCCAGGACGACGATTGGGACGGGACAAATAAGTAATGGATTGTACTATCTTCGATTGCTAGTAGGGCCCGTGCCGCATGCCTTAACAGCCAGTGGTGATGATGGAACGGGGGGAGCTTTGGCATTCGCGTCTTGGTCAACCATCACCGGATAAAGTTTCTTTCTTTTTTTCTTTTTTTTTTTATAATGGGAGAAAGCTTCTTTCTTATTTAGTTCAATTCAGAATAAATGCAAGGTTGATGCTTGCGATCCTTGTATTCGTGCTAAACAGACACGACTACCTTTTCCTAGAAGTTCGATAAGAACAAATCGTTGTTTTGAGCTTGTTCATTTGGATATTTGGGGCGGTTTCAAGGTTCCAACTCAAAATTCAGCTCGATATTTCCTTACCATTGTTGATGATTTCAGCAGAGCTACCTGGGTGTATTTCTTGAGTTATAAATCTGACATTGAGGGATATTTGAAGATGTTCATCAATATGGCTGAAACACAGTTTGATAAGAAGGTAAGTAGAGTTCAAGCTGACAATGGATTGGAGTTTCAGACAAATAACCTGCGTTCCTTTTATGAAGACCTTGGGATTGTACTACAGACCTCGTGCAGGGATACTCCTCAGCAGAATGGATTCGTCGAGCGAAAGCATCACCACTTGCTAGAGACAGCTCGTGCCTTGAGGTTTCGGGCCAATCTGCCATTGTGTTTCGGGGGGGGGGGGGGAATGTATACTTACTGTTGTCTACTTAATTAATCGTTTTGCAGAATCGAACACCTTACGAAGTCCTACTGAGTAAGCTTCCTTCCTATAAGCATCTTCGAGTTTTTGGTTACTTAGCTTATGGAA